ATCAAATTTTCTTGTAGGTTGAAACGCAAGGAATCATGACTCTTATAAGATGATTTTGAGGACCTTATATAGAGGACAATTTTTTTTTTTTTTTAAGTGATTGAGAAAGTGATTAAGAAAGTATCGTATGAAAAAATAATAAGTTTTGTAGTAAAATTATGTTAGAATTTTGTTAAATTGTTAGTTTTTTTATATTCGGTAAAAAATTAGTATAAAAAATTAGTAGAAAATTCATTAAGTGAATCGTATGTAAGGAAATTAAGTTTGGTGAAAACTTTTTACCTTTAAAAAGTGAGAAAAAATATTTAGATATTAAAAATTATGTAAGAGAAAATATAGATTAAAAATATTACTTTTATTCTTTATTTGTTATAATATTAATATATAAATATATATAACCTTATAAAAAAATTTAAAAACTTTACAGGAAAGGTGACCGCTTTCCTCCTAGCAAACACCCCTTGAAAATTTCTTTCCCTTTTTGTTTTTAACAAGAGACGGGTGAAGCTTACGAGATCAACAATGGTGGACTATTAAATAATCTTGGAGCATCAGATGTTAAAGTAAAGATAAAGAAAGCAACTAGGAGTTTGAAGCTTTTCCATTCTCCTATTTGGGAAAGTAGGAGTGACGAATAGCACTGGGAACGTGGCTCAAAAGATAAAGAGGCACTCGTCAAGTAATCGGCATATTTATCCATAAAATATGGTCCTTGAAAACGAAATATTTGAGTCTGTCCAGCTCCACTTGCATGTCGAATACTAGTAGTGGTTTTTGCTACCCAAGCATTCAAACTTTATAATTTCATCTATATTTCACACAATTAAGGAGCAGAAATTGCTTTTCTAATGCTTTCCATGCCTTCGTTATTGGAAAGTATTTTTACATTTAATTATTGAATATTTTATAACAATCAAGAAAAGATTTAATTCAATCAAGACAAAATAAAAATCTAAATTAAATATCATGTTATGTAATTAAAATTACTAAATTTCTAATTTTCTCTTTATTATTACTTTTTATGTTTTGTCTTATCTCATATATATTATTTTACAAATCAAACAATACAATCTATAAATTTTAAGACTTTTATATATAAAGATAAATCAACATTTATGATGATTAGTTAAATCGCATTAAAACTTCTATTCTTAATCCTTCAACTTACACCTTCAAGTTCATATTTTTATTTAAAGTTTATCATCCTAATCCATCTGGCTCTTATGTCCATAATACAAGTGGAGTTGATGAAAGACAATCTCATTTTATTTTATTTAATGTTCAGATTTTATTAAACAAGTACAATTTCTAGAGGAAGAATTGAGACGTGCACCTTTGTAACAAACGGTGTGAGAGGCTAGATGCTAAATGCCTTTCATATAAGTACTAAACAGCAATCACGTAGTCAATGTCTTAATTACTTGATAAACAAGATAAAGTTACAAATATTTGTGTTGTGTTACTAGCTACTTTGGAATTAAAATTTCAAAGTTAATTAACAAGAGTACACTTTAGCTGGACGTGATTTTTGGTTCTGGACATACCCAACTGAATTATTGTCACACACATCTTATTATTGGATCGGGCTATATTGGAAATTAGGAATACAAACACCTACCTGGAAAAAGGAAAGTTTGCAGTTTCCCCTGTTGAATTTCCTTGGATCAGTTCATGCCTTCTTGGGCTTGTGTTCAAGCTGATGAAAGATGTCAAAATCTACATGAACGAAAGCTCTCTCTATCTCTGGCAGTTGTTCGAGCTTCTCCTGGAGCGTCTCTCCAATATTATGTGCCTGACCAAGGGTCATCTCCTCCGGTAAAACTATGTCCACCTCCACGAAGTATTGACACCCAAATGTGTATGCCCTAACAGTGTCTATGTGCTTAATCTCCTCATGATGGTTCCACACCAAGTACGTTAGCTTCGCTAAGTACTCTGGTGGTGCCGTCCTCCCAATCAATCCCGATACATTTTCCAGCACAGTCTTTGCCCAATTTCCTATTGTATACAAAGCAATCTGTACATATACTAAATTTGTTCATGTTATGGAAATTAAGATTAAGTAGGATTTATATAAAGTATATGCAGGATCAAACTTACTAGGATGGCCCCAAGAGGATCGATCCACCAGTAGAATTGAATGGCCAATACGGCTGTGGCTAGACCGATTGAGTTAGTAATGACATCAAAGAAATGATCTTGAGCATAAGCCCTAACAATTTCATTTTTGAAACCACGACAGTACATCATCAGTAGAAATTTTATTACTGTCACTGACACCATGATCCCAATCATCCATTTTTCCTTCTCATGATCTTTTTCAGGTTGCTCCTGGAATACAATAGTTAATTTCCTTGTTAGTTTAGGCTACAAGTTGCAGTAGGTTACCTGATATTCGCAACAAAACATATCATCTTAATTAATATACCTTTGTAAGAAGTTGTCGACCTGACTCAAACAGAATTTGCAGTCCAAGGGTAGCCATTACTGCTGCAAAAACAACAATTCCCTGTACCAAAATGAATGGAATTTAAAATGGGAGGATTGTCCTCTGCTTTTTCTTTTATTTTTCCCAAAGCATGCTGCAAGCCACCGTCTTATTGTTGTAAAAGTTCATCTCCAAATAACTTTTCTCTTCTGAGATTAAATGCAACTTACATAGTTGACTTAATTAAGAAGATAAATATCCCCTATTAATTAATGTGATTAATTGTCCCATTTGGACTAGTAAACGCAGGTATCATAATAGTTGTAGAAAAGTCAGAAGTTAAAAACATTTTTTTTTTTCTTTTTATCATGGAAACTTAAGATTCTTAATGAGGAAGAAAGAGTACTACTTACCACAGGCTGCATCCTGTTCTTTCCGATGGGATACCGATGATGATTCGGTTTTCTCATGGCATAATCAGTGAACCACAGAATAAATCCTGATAAAAGATCCAACAGTGAGTCCAGAGTTGATGCTATTACTGCCAATGACCTGCTCTCAACAGATGCATAAACTTTAGCAAAGAACAACACTAGATTGGCCACATTTGATGCATATACTGCAATCTTCTCGCTCTTCGCCAGTTCCTTCATTTCTTCCTACACAACCCCAAATCTTTTCATCTCAAAGTCTGAATCCGAAACTTCTAATTTGAACATTTGAAGGTCAAAAGTTTAATACTAAGAGCTGCTGAATCAAAAACTAACTCACCTCTGTTAAGCCTCCAGGTAAAACGCCCAATTCAGTGAACTTGTCAACTTCAGTGAATCCATTAAGGAGATTTTCTTGTTTCTTGTAATACTCTGATATTTTCTTTTGTCTTCCTGTATTAATAAAAAAAAGGGGAAAAAGCAGATGCATAATTATTCAGAGTATGCAGAATCAAAGTATAGAAATTAGCATGATAGTTTAGTACTTATAGTCTGAAAAAAATATCCAACGCTGCAATGAGAATCTGTGCGCCTATCTGGCAAGGTGAACTTGTCCATATTGAGCCGCCATGACGGTTGCCTTGCTACCACAGCCTCCTGTCCTGGAGGAGGAGGTGACAAAAGCTCGACCCGATAGTCAGATGAATCAGTTCTGAGATCGTTCACCATATTTCAAGTAGATAAAGCAGTTTCCCAGGAAGATAAGAAGAAGAACTGCAATCCAGTTTTCTTGGAAGATAAGAAGAAGAACTGCTGACCCTCTTTATAGAAAATTAAGATTGGTGAACAAAAACAGAATCTTTAATTTTACATTCAACTGCTCCTCTTTGTAAACAAGAACAACGTATATAAGCCAAAGAAAGCACGCCCGCGTGGGATGTATCTTTAACTGCACAGGCTCCAAATGATGTAACTCTTAAAAAAAATAATTTGCTTGACAAGGATACCTGGACACGAAATTATTAGTTTAATTTGTGTATCAATATTAAATAGTTCGTAGAAGTATAGAAACAAAACAGAATTGCGAAAGCTAATGTGACAAGCAAGCTCTAATTAAAGATTAATTATGTCATAGTTAACCCCATGAACATACTTGAGAGATGCCTAATTTGAGTAAGCACCTGTCCTGTTCGTTATTCAGGCACAAGGTTCAACCTTCCAAATTTTAAATGTGTAATCTTACGAAGTAAAAAGGAGAAACTCAAATTTGCCACTGTTATATTGCCCACATCATTTTATTGTCCACCAACACCTAGCAATTTTCTTGAGAAAAAATAGTTTCTATATCCTTTAAAAGGGAAAATCAAACAAGTAATTGAGGATTTTTGATGATAGAAATATTCAAGTAAGCAGGCATGGAGAATGTTGATATGATCATGGGAACACCAAACTTAATATAATTTTTTTGTGCGGTTGGATTATTTGTAAATAGAACAACTTTGTTAAGTATCACCATCAGATGTATTACAAGCTGAGCTGCTGACTTTGTGCTTGCATTAATTTACAAATTATATAGCTTACTATCATAACATCTCGAAATAGAATTTTTCAGTATCTTAAGAGTATGGTACTATCCTCGAAATGAATTTTTTTGTTTTTTCATCGGGAAGCTTTTGGTATTTTTCTGTCATTTACATTTATCGGTTTAGTTTGGCATTCGTTCGTGATGGATATTTGATAGTAGTATT